CGGGGAAGCTGCTTATGACTGCAGTCGCAAATAAGCCGCGTCATCTGCAGAACTGTCAGTCATGAATCGACCCAGTCGTGTAGCCCCTATGATATTATTCTGCTGAGTCATACCGGCACGGCTTCACTTCATGAGTAGTTGAATAACGCGACGAAAATACGTGGTGAGTAACTTCACAGTGTGAAATCGTATGCGTTAATACGTTTGTTAAACTCGTCTGTAAACGGGACCAGTCAGCTTACGGTAATAGGTAATTTTTCGAAGCTGTTGCTCGAAACGGTTTTAATTTCGGCGAATGACAGGGCACAACAATGCGAGACGTCAACTCGGTGACACAGCGAAGATCTCACGCAGTTCGAATCTCGTTGCGAATTCTGACATTGATGAGTTTGTTTAAAAACGCAAGCTGAGTTTTCCATGCAAGCACTCGATTCAAAATTCAAGAAAAAAAGCTTTACAGGTTGACATCGTATCGTATATAGAATTTATTGTTAGAATTTATTTTGTACCTATTCCATAAAGTTTTGGATCATGCTCGATCTGTTTTCGGGGAGACATGTGATGTAAAGCAGTGAATACTACAGTAACAATCGGTATTGTCAGGTAGCAACTTTACCATGAAGGTTTTAGCGTCGACAGTAGCAGGTGTATCGTAATTTCTTTCCAGTGAGAACTTGGTACCATATGAACGTGTTTATTTATGCCCTGGTTTGGACTGAATTACTGGTTATGCGTTTGTTCATATGTAAAATGTCTGATCTTTACAATGTCATAACGAAGAAAGCATAAATTGCTGAAATCCACCAGTTTCAATCGAGTTGCTGGCATGCGACTATGCCGGCGTAGTGTAGTGCACCTTGAAGAAGTCTGCAAAGCGTTTGAAAAGCATCTCCGGCAATTTAAATTTGCTTATTGATGCTAGTGTCCCCGATAAATATGCCACAGGTTCAGACGGATGGACAGTTCATCGTTCAAATGAGTATTACAGCCTTTATGGTCTGCATGATACGTGAAATGATATCTTGCAGACGGCACATCGTTCACATCCACCATCCGACTAAGGCAGGGCAGAGGAGGAGATAGCGCTGCAGCGAATACCTGGAAGCTTGATACCATCATTACCACGGAGAATACTGAATGTATTACTGATTTCCGTCATAAACCTTGTTCGAGATCAACCGTCTGTATAAGGGTAAATAGATGCACTTTAACGCGAAGGGGAGGAAGCTGTGACATCTGAAATTCCGCTGAATATTCTAGTTCAAAAATCGTCTCATTCATCGAAGAGCCTTTATTTGACCTCACATTCTGAACTTTCGAAGGCACTGAGGTCAGTTCATGTGGATTCTTATAGATTGGCCGACTGAAAAGCGGAATTCCGTCTTGCATAAACTAGTCCGTCAGGCATTGGACAATGCTATGTTGGTGACAGCCAAGTTAATAACGTACGTTTCTGTAACTTTATCTCAAGCTTATGATCATATCCTCTATTATGCGGAGATTAAGTTACTGTCCAGCGGCAGTACGAACGTCAGGCAAGGGGTATAGTTTGTGCAGCCGCCTACGCTAGAACCGTCTTTAGTAGTTCCTGATCCGAACAATCAAAACAACATGATAAACGACAACAGCGACGTATGCTTAACTAGATACCATAGCAAGGCCAAAGTTATACAAAGAGATATACGAAGCTCTGTAATTCTCAGAGCCTAGCGACATGGCACAGATACTTACTGACAAGGAAGAAACAGGGTGGCATGAATATGTGTCTGCCTTTGTTTTGAGAGAAATGCTTCGGAAATAACACAACGATCTTGACTGTTGCCTCGATTTAAAATGGACGGTATGGGAAACATGGCAAAAGGTATATAGGATGGCAGCAGTAACGGAACTTCCGTAACAAAAGAAGCATTTATTCCACGGAGAATGAGAGGGCGCAGTTACGACGGAAGAAATATTTAGCGGGTTATTAAAATTAAGTGCAGCAACTCGCTCAGAAATATCTGTGACTCGCCGTAAGTGAGGGTAGTTTTATCAAATGCCAAACACAAGGATCGAGGAGTGCTTATCTGCAGTGAAACGTGAATGGCCTGAAAATTATGGCATTCAGCAACATGCCATCTTCGCTGGACATTCATTTCGTCAGATGGAGTGTTGGTAGGGTGTCTAGGAGAACCTACCGGTTTCGATTCCGTTCAAAGGCAATCTTTGCCTTAACTGTGAATGTCCTTGAGCAAACCAACCGAGTAACTAATCGGTCTAACCGTGTCGGTGACTTGCCAATAATAGGGACAGCG